ACTTCAAGGATGTTTAAACAAATTTTCGGGCATTTTCCATTTATATCAGAGCATCAAAGAAACACTTCAAGAGAATTGCGAGAACTTCCGGAAAGCTCAAAGAACAGTAGAGAAGATCAGAGAATATCAGGGCAGTTCAAATAACTCCAATTAAATGACTAGACTTTCAAAGCAGTTCCGATAAACGAAGATATTTCCTAACAATTTAGCAAAGTTCCGAGAGTTTTCGGAAAATTGCAGAATCTTCAGGGAATTTGTATGACCATCGGGAAAATTGCGGGAACATTTTATGGGAAGTTCCGATAGCTTCGTGGCAGTTTCGAGAACTTCAGAAAAAATGTGGGAACTTCTGCGCAGTGAACTTTAAGACTCAAGTCCCATTAATTTCAGAAAAACAAAAAACAAAAGAATTTTCTTGAATTCAAAGCACTTTAAAGAACTTAAGAGATTTTAGGCAGTTTCTTTATCGTTAGGGAAGTTTCGAGAACTTCGGGTTGGATCAAGAAACTTCAGAGCACTCCCAATAATTTTATTAAAATTGCAAAAATTATCAAAAAGTCTCAAGGAATTATGGGAAGTTTAATTAAATCTAGAAATGTTTCTAAAGTTTCAGGAAATGGTGGTCATTAGGAAAGCTCCATTAATATCAGGAAAAAATGCCAGTTCATTAAAGAAGTAGAGGAACTTCAGGGAAGCACCAAAACCTTCCTGGAAAGACTTTATAACCCAATAAACAATTTTAGCTGCAGATCAGCCTTGTGTAGCTAAAAACAGGCTTATTCAGCTTTTAGCCTGCTAAATTGTTAGATTGGTAGCGTAGAGAAGTTAATAGATTTTAAAAGAGCATCCGTGAGCGTGAAAAAGGCGGAAACTTTGAACAGACAAACAGACGTAACTCTTTATTGTGTATCTTCGTTCACGTATTTAACGGTTGATTTGAATATTATCAGCTCCGTGAACTATTCGCCGCAGCGCTGGCATCGGATCGCTTTGACGTTCCTATACATTCTATAGAACTTTTATGCAATATTGTTTGCGAGTTAGCGAGCAAGCTTGTTTTTCGCGAGAAGCCCGAGATTTGGCGTTACTGACGTCCTGAAAAACTTTTTCAAAGAGTTACGTCTGTTTGTCTGTGTTTTTAACTTCAGAAAAATAACGGGAACCTTACAGAAGTCCCGGGAGTTTTAGGGAAGTCCGTAGAACTCCAGTGAATTTTTTTTTCTGAAAACTTCGGGGAAATCGAAAAAAATTCCAGAGAAGTTCATTGATCATCAGGATGATGCAGAAACATTTTAAGTTCTGTTTCGTAAACTTCACGGCAGTTTCATCTATTGCGGGAACATCAGGTAAGATCATTGCAGTTCCATTAATTTCAGGAAACTAGAAATTTCAGACGCTCCCAGTCTTCCATGAAGTCCCGAAATCTTCACAGAAGTGTAGACAATAGAAAAAAATAAGGAATTTCACAGAAGTTCAGAGAATTCCAAGGAAGTACAGTTCCAAAAGCTTCAGAAGAATCCCAAGGACTTCAGACAAGTTCCAAGAACATCAGGGAAGATCAAATAACGTCAAAGCAATTATATCAACGGTAGGGAAATAGCAAATTCAGAGAAGTTCTGACTACTTCAGAATGTACCGAGAATTTTAGAAAAAGGCCGGAACTTCAGGAAAGATCCAGGAACATTAGGAAAATTGAGGAAACTTCAGGTAGGATTAGTGAAGTTAAATGATTTTAAAGCAAGTTCCGTGGGCATCAAACTTTTGACAATTTAAGAAAACTTTCAAGAACTTTCGGCAAGATCAATGAACATCAAGATTGTTCCATGAACTTAAGGAAATTGTGAGAGCCTTAAAGAAATACTGAAAACTTCAGGGAAGTCCAGAAAATTTCAGGAAAGTCCAATGTATCCAATGATCAATAGGACCTATCGAAAAAAGATGCGAGAAGTAATCACCTATGGCAATCATCAGTTCGTGACCGGTTCGATACGAACGAAACCATTGCAAAGTGGTCCATGATGTAAAGTTAGCAAGGCAAAAGTCCCAGTGTTTTTGTTTTTAATTTCAGACGTTTAGTGTCTTTGCTGTAGTTGAATAAAATAAAAATTTCCTTCTTTTGGCCTTTGGGTTAAAAACGGCAAAAAAAAGGACATTTTTATGTTAAACAACTTCACCGAAGACACCGAACGTTTAAAACTAAAAACAAAATCACTAGACCTTTTGTATTGCTAAATTCACATCCTGGACCACTCTGTGCAGGTTACCATTGGTCACAAATCAATCTAGTTTTGCAATTGCAATAGCATGATTAAGTTTGTCGAAAGTTGCTGTCAAATCGATATAAATGACATTAGTTTAAGCTCGGTCAACCATGCTATCAGTTAGATCAGATGTGAGACATAGCAGATTGGTGGTAGTGGAACGATTTGACATGAAGATGCTGATCATCATTCAAAAAACAAAATGCTTGCAGTGAGAAAGTAGCGGTTCTATCATGACTAGTTCGAAAAACTTCGATACGGCGCTCAGCGAGCTAATTCCACGACAGTTGTTGACATCTCGTTTGCTTCCTTTTTTATGAACAGGAAATGTGAGTAAATTTCTAGCTTGAAGGAAGAGTACCACTGCTAAGTGAGAATTGGAACACATGAGAGAGTGGAGTCAATGGGTTATCGATGTTTTGACGTAGACTCCGTATTACGCGAAGGTACAAAAACTCAAATTGCGACCGTCACGAAAAGGTGTTAGTTTTTGAACGCTTATAACTTTGTCATTTATAGATGAAATTAAAATACAAGTCCACTAATCGAATGGAACTAGCTGTAAAAATCCAAGTCCACCAATCGAATGGAATTAACTGTAAAAATCCACTAACATAAACACTTTTCCAACATTCCGTTTTTTGAAAAATGTTCAAATTAAAAGTGATACTTTTGTCACTGTTCTCATAACATAGAAGTTTTCCCTAACCCACATGTCATAATCAAGTACCACTAAGGTGCGCATTGTTCTGCTTGAACTGTAAAGTTATCTAAGAGTGCTGCTGTCGCGCCACTGCTCATTTTTACATCGGACTACAATTCGTAACTATGATGTTTACTATCAAACCATTTAGCAGGTGGAGAACCCGTATGAGAGCTTTTGCTCTGATTTGGCAATTGAATAACTCAGGGAGGCCACTGAATTTAAGAAATATAATTCCCAGTTTTTCCAAGGTTCACCCAGGTGTCCAAAATATTTTCCCCGATTTCATATAAACGGCTAAACATGTTTGTGGTGGTGTTGAGTACTTGGCATTGATGAAGTCTGCAAGTAGTAGACGAAATACGCGTATCTTTTAAAAAGATAAGCAGTCATAATGAAATTTAAAGGAAATAAACCAACCCACTCAAAGCTCTTCATAAAGGGATTCTGTTAAGAGGTTCGACAAATTTAAAGGATTGATGTTTAGAAGGCCACAAAGCCTGGGTCATCAGGTTGAATAGAAATAAGTTGAGTGTTCAAGTGATAGAATGATCTTAGAAATTCCTCTAGAAAACAACGGATCAACGGAATTACATTTCAGATCTCGGATTAAGAATTTGTTTGAAGATTATATGAGACAATTTAAAAAAGGCAGTGTCAGTTTTTTACAATATTGAACTTTTCAAGATTTCAGACTACATAAGGAAAATGTAACATTTCAAATACGGCGTAATTTTGACGATCTCTGATTGAAAAAAATCGTTACTCTTTTAAATATGGAGAACATTTTAGGAATTTAACACTTTGAAGTATTGTCTAGAGAATTTTGATGAGATGGTCAAATGAGAATTGAGGAGAATTGTAGAGGAATAATTCTAAAGGGATTCTGAGAAGAAGTTCCATAAACATAACATTTTAAGGAGATGTCAAGCTGAAATCCAGAATTCGAAGGTAGTTCCGAATTCAGGGAAAGCAAATGAGAAGGAATTTCAGGATTTTAGGGAATTTGGAGGAGAATTCTATACGAATTAAACCTAGAAAAACTTAATGATGATAATGATAATTGCACCATGACTAAAATGATCACCTGCAGCTGACAATATTTAAAATGTTAATCAATCAAAAGATCAATCGATGATAGAGACATTTTTTGACGAGAGCTAATAATTCAAAAGGAGTTTTATTCTGAATAAATCTATATATTTGCAAAATATGTTCAAGGAAATTTCAAGGAAATTTCTAAGAGAAGTAATAAAATTTTATAGAGAATTTCCGAGAGCGTTTCAAATAGTTGAGTTCTCAGGGAAATTTGAGCATATTTCCAAAGATATTTGGGTTAGCGTACTAGGCTATTCTGAAGAAATTTCCAAGGGAATTCAAAGGAGGCTTTCAATTTTATCGTAAAGTAGTCGTCAACCCATAGAAATTTCCATATAAACTTTAAATGCTTTGTGCCAGGTCAGTTTCTTACTAAACGAGTTCAAATTTTGGAACGCTGATCAGGACCCAATTTGGAACCGTTTGGGCACTGTTTAGCAAAAATTTCAAATTTTACATACAGTGTATCTCAAAATTGGGCGTACATCTGTCCGTACATATCAGAAAAACAGGTGTACGAGCACAACTTAAGAAGATAGGTTTCTAAATTTTTGGCTGCTGGCTCATCAACCATTAATTGGTTATTGCAGGCATGGAAAATCATTTGTATTCATTTAGTGCATTCATTTACATTCATTTGCCCCTAACTTTTTTCATCAACAGAACTCCGCAAAATGATGTATGAAACTTTTGTAGGTTTTGTTATTAACTACAACATTTGTTAAAAACCCAAATCCGTATCTTTTATGCATGACGAACCAGAGCAAACTGAATCCACTACTGTTTTTCAGTGAATGTATTTTACATTTACTGAAAAACAGTAATGAGTTCTGCCTGCTCTAATTCGTGATGCATAAGAGATACAGATTTAGATTACTGGCAAAAGTTGTAGCTAATAACAAAACCTACAAAAGCTCCATACATCATTTTGTGGAATTCTGCTGATGAATAATGTTAGGGGCAAATGAATGTAAATGAATGCATGAAATGAATGTAAATGATTTCCCATGCCTGGTTATCGGTATAGTATTGAGATGAGTGTGTGAGAAGTTTAAGCTATTTAAAAAAAAACTAGATTTCCTCTAAAAAAACACACATTTTTATGAAATACAATGAGCCAAACTTATGGAAATTCAGCTCATCTGTAGTCATAATGAAGATCTTAAAAATGCCGCTAATTTTAATAAAATCCGCCTACTATGAAAAAAGTTGAAAATCGACCGTTTTACTGAAATTACTCAAACTTCATACATACTCTGCCAATAAAGTCCAAAACTATACTGATAAATCAATAACTAGTTGTGCAACCACAGCCAAGATTTCAAAAATCTATCCACTCACAGTCTTTCAAAAAATTTCCCATTCAGGTGTACGCTCAATTTTGAGATACACTGTAAGGCTGATGTCCAGTGAGGGTCGTTGACATTTTTAGAAGCGCCTCCTCCAAATTGTTCTGGTGGATGAAATAAGTGAAGTCCAATTAATCAAATTAGTAAAGATTTTGGGGCTGAATCTAAAATTGCGACCATCACGAAAAGATGTAAGGTTTTGAACGCTTATAACTTTGTCATTTATAGGTGAAAATAAAATCCAAATACACCAACCGATAGGAAATAACTCAAACAATCTGCTGCAATTATTGCTTTTCCAATTTTCTAAAAAAAAACAAATCGTCAAAATCTACAAATAAAAAGTGATAATTGCATCGCTATTTCAATGAAATAAACGTTCTCCCCAAATCAAGTCGTCATAATCGAGTACCATTTGGTTGCGCATCATTTTGCTTGAACCTGTAAACTATATATGAACTCTGCTGTCGTTCCTCCGCTCATTGAAGCTTCGGACGGCGTGGCAAGCAGAAGCAGGAGCAAATCAGGAAAAGGTGGAATTCCCTCTGTTTTGTTCCCAAGTTGAGAGAAAATTTGCATTTCATGTATGATGTACCTCTCACAGCTACCGAATGGTGTAAAACATGAACATTTAGAATTATGATCCTGCTTGCATGGACGAATTTTTGATTGCTTGAAGTAGCAAGTTATGATTAAATATTGAAATCAGGGTCACATGGACTAAGCTTTCTAATTTTGTGAAAGTAAAACTCTGAATATCAAATTTTCGATTATGCTGATGGTAAGAAAGTGAGGTGGCAATACCAAGTAACCAACAAGCATACTTAGAAATAATTCGACTAATAATGCGCCAAAGCCCTGTATTGATCGTATGTTAGCTTTATATAACAAAATCAATCCAAATTAGAGGGCTTATTGGCTACCTCCCAAATAACTATTTGGGTTTTATGAGGGTACTATAGACCATGATTTCGACTTGTAGAGTGCTTTAAAACCTCAATAAAGCTTGCATTGTGACTTGGGCTCGGATGTGCAATACGTGCTTGTGAACGAGTTCCCACCGGAGGTATCCCACTGAGATCAATCGTTTGGTTAAACGTGTTATCCATAACAAATGTTAAACGAAGTTGGGATGGGCATTGAAGTGTGCACGGGGAATATATTTTATAATGGAGGATTAAAGACAAGTGTTTCATATGCGGAAATATCCCTAACGGAAAGTCCAGAAACAGTCAGGAAAATAGCTAATAAGGGTGAGGAAATTGACATGTTAAGGAGAAGAAATGGAGTAAATTGAGGAAATAAGTTACTTCTACTGTAATTTAAATCAATATCAAGAAAAATACACAAGAAGATCACTAAACATCTCAACGTAGTCTACGTCAACCATGCGGTCGTGTCTTGTACACAACCCCACCATTTTTTTTAAAATAACCTTCAACTTTAGCTCCGATAACTTAAAATAAAGTTGATGGCAAGCTTGTCTCAAATCAGTTTTGAAAACTTCTTTACGACTTATTCCAGTCATAAACAAGTTGTTGCAACTTTTTGTAACGAGAGTGTGCTACTCGGGTTGGTTTAGACCATTCAGGGAAACTTTCTCGACCATCCTAACGCACATTTTATATCACACAAAACGGGTAAAACAAGATCTACAACTGTTTCAACTACTAAACCGAAGCTCTCTTTGGAGGCTCACTGATTCTCAAATTCAATTAGTTAATAACAATTAATCTACGTACGTACTTCTTTCACAACAATTGAAACACCGCCTTCATCGTCATCGTCGTCGTTACACTTCGTTTGTCTTGATGCTTGTTTCCTTTTTAAAAATAATATCCGGTACTCTTACAAGTGACACACTGACTTTCCTTAGGAAAAAATATTCGCTCTCTTTTGTTTACATTTCTGCCGCTGCTACTATCTAGTTACTAATAGTTTTCAAAGAACAATTTTCAGTTTTAGATTTTTCCTTGATAGTTTTAGCGCACACAATTAACATGGGTTCTACTATTTGCCATATTTTCGACCACTGGACATCGTGCTGCTTTTCTGTGTCCCTCAAACGGTTCGTTAGCCACGATGCCAACAATCGAAATTCTTGCCTGGCATCTATTATGATAATAAAATTAAACAATCAACAACAATTATCAGCATCCGTTTGTCGTAATAATTTGAACAACCAACAAATGGAAAGGGATGGTGGTGAATGCAATTATTTGCTGCCAATTTCCCTAGCCTCTGGACCACCACCACCATCACCACCACCATTTGCCATCATCGGTCATGGTTCTACCTGTTGGCGTCATTTTAATTGAATTTCCATGGAAATGGAGAATTTGCAAACTAATTAAAAATAATCGCCGAAAAAAATACGGCAACAATAACGGCATGGTGCACGCAAACGTTCGATCGAATTCCAATGCACCTACCAGAATGCTGATTGATCAATGATGGAAATGCTGATGGGAGGTGACCCCGCCATGGTCGTAACGATGAAATACCTATGTGCGTTGTTATTTCATTGTGTGGTCATCGCTGGCACCTGCTGCTGCTGCGACAGTTTACTGCCATTGACGGGTGGTACAGAAGAAGCAATAGACGAGGACCAGGCCAATCGACGGCAGAAGCAGGGATGAGAGTAAGCAAAAATCGTTATGGAATTTCGTCGCCGCCGATCATCCGGTTGTAGTCGGTGTAATTTTTGATCATCTTGGCTCTGTCGAGGGACTCCCGCATGAGTCGTTCGTTTTCCTGGCGAACTGCAGAGACAGAAAGAGAGAGAAAGAAATGAAGGGGAAATTGATTACTGTTGGGAATAATCTATCATCAATGCGTTCGTGCGTCGTATAGGAGGAGAAGGGGATGGTCTAATTAGTAACGCTGCTCATCACATGCGATGCATGGCTGTCAGATCCTGCTTAGCAGAACATTTTACGTTGGCAGCTTGGATTGATTGTAGTACATGTGCATTAGGGCGGTTCAATTTTGTTTTCTTCAGATTCTTGCCCTAACCGTTTGATTGAGCATAACAAATCAGCTAAATTGTTAGTGATTTAGGGGTAATAAGTTCCACTAACGAGATCTAAAGCGGCCCACTACACCGATCAATCAGTGAAGCGCAAACCGTTAAACTTGAAAATGTGAAAGTTAGAGAAAGGGACAACACCATTTGATTTGGAGAAGTGCTGGAAAAAATGTCAGATAAGTTTAACAGTACTACTGTGTAAGACATGATGGGAAGTATTCAGCGAAAAGTTCAAAAATTCATCCGAATAGCTGACAAATAATTCTTGCATTTTTCTCTTAAAGCTATATAAAAAACCTTGTATGTTATCTCCTCTTGGAGAAATGACTCATTTTATGCAAGAAAATTCTAAATGGTACAGATTTTACAATGATTTTCGAAGACGAATGTAAAAACAATAAATGTGTGAACACCGATTTCTTATTCCTTTATTTAACGTCGGTCTCTGTTCCGAAATCTAGTGCCAATCACTGACGGACATCGATTGCCATCCATTGAGGGCAATCGAATGTGCAGGAAGGTAGCTTCCACACCTGCATATGATATCGCACCCATTCAACAACACACATGGGCCGGGACCAACGGCTTTACTTCCCTTCCGAAAGAAGACGTGACCAGAGATTTTTATGTCTCAGAAAAATCCCACCGCCCTCGGCTGGAACCCATTGGGATGAGAAAGCAGTCACGCTTACCACTACACCACCGGCGCCGGTTTGAAAACCGATTTGAAATAGGGGAATTTACGTCTTCTCGTCAATCTAAGGAGCGACCGCACTTCTATTAGCATTTCCTCAGCGTCACGCACATATTTGTTTACATTTATCTGCTGATTACTTCTCTATCAATTCCAATCGACAGAACTGTCCAAACCTGTTTGGAAACGTTTTTACAACGCTTCAAACTTCTCAGGTCAGTGTAACTATTGTCGGCCACCTCTTTCTGGACGTAGGACTGCGTCTGTGGTTTCTATATGGGAGTACACTTTGTGAAAACCGAAAATGGAACATGTAACAAAATTATGAAAGATTTTGAACGTTAATAACTTCGATGCCCCTTGACCAATTTCAATAATTTTATCACCATTCGATCAGAAATATTTCTACGCATCTGTTGAATTGAAGACTTTATCATTTTTCAAAATGTCGCTATTGAAAATTGCACGAATGTGCAACTGTTGTTATCTTAATTAAAATTATCACCGGCTCCCTGCGAAAAGCGATTTCTCTAACACAGATTTCAAAATTTAATTCCATCCGGTCTCACCAAATGGTGTTTTTCAATCACCGCGTGGTGAGTGGTGGTATTCTCCAGTACACAACGAAAGGCTCCCCGGAAGCAGCTAACTGGCCTCAACCGCTAATCGGATTCAGTTCCAATCACCGTGTGTGGTCCGGTCGTCAGCATCAGCAGCAGCAGTGCTTTCGGCGCGTGGCGTTGAATATTGTTCTCCAGTACACAACGAAAGGCTGCCTGCAAGCAGCGAGCTGCAGCCAACACGAGCATCCACAGAAGGAGGAAGAAGCAGCACCGCTATTGATCGGAATCAGTAGCTCTTCGTGAGTCACTGTGGGCGATCTATGCAATGCGCGTCACCCTCATTCCAAACAACATACAGCTCACCAGCATCGTCCGTGTTTAACACCCTAATAGCTCAGCATTACTCAACCATCACGACAAAACGGTCCTTTTCAGGACCACCATATATTTGTAAAAGAGTATTTTTGGACATTTGTCAAGGTCATCAATCGGATGTCAGTTCCCATATCAAGATAGAGCTGGAATGAGGGCGTAACAGCTTTTATAAACAATGACTTCTTTCGATTATGTCTTGAAAGTCAAGGATCGCCCAGGCAAATCAACATCAAAATCAGGTAGGATAAGACTTCTTCTACCCGACGGTCATATTGGTTTACATTCTAGCTCTCTCTAGATATGTTTAAATCTAACATGCCATGCTCTTGAAGGCAATATTGGGGGTGCAATTTCAAAAACCAAAGTCGGTCGCGGCATGAAAGTGGTCTGATTTTGATCTAGAGATGATGGATTTTAATTTTTGATTCGCCAATCGATAGGAATTTTTTCTACACATTTGTTAAAATTACGGCTTTATCATTTTCTAAAATGTCACTATAGAAAATGATAATAAATAATGGTAGCTATGATAATTAAAATTATCACCGATTGCCTGCGAAAAGCGATTTCCCTAACACAGATTTCAAAGTTGAATTCCGTCCGGTGTCACCAAACGGTGTTTATTCCATAAGCGCGTGGTGAGTGGTGGCGTTCTCCAGTACATAACGAAAGGCTGCATGCAAGCAGCAAGCTGCAGCCAGAGAAGGAGGAAGAAGTCGCACCGCTATTGATCGGAATCAGTAGCTCTTCGTGAGTCGCTGTGGGTCATCTATGTCAAGCGCGTCATACTAAAGAGTATAAACAGAGAGAACCCCGCTCAAATTTCTATTCCTACACAAAACACAAGCTCCTGCTGCAGTTAATAAATAAGATTTATTATATAAGACCACGTAGTCCTACGTCCCCATTGCGTACAACCCCATAGGACTGTCCCGTGTAGTTTTTTTGGCAGCCTTTCCATTTGAACTGCGTGTTTACCAGCTGTTCTATTATCGGCTACTCGAAATCAGCCACATTTTGTAGAGCATATATTTCATTTAAAGAAAAATATAAGATAACGGGATTGCTCAGTCGTAAACTGAAATCAGATTGAAGCTGAAAGAGTAGGGAATCGTTTGAATACATTCAGCGAAGTGTTTTGAAGGGAAATACAGTGAAATTAATGTTTAAATTTTAATTGCCGAAAACAGCCGACGTTTAAAATATGTAACTTACTTAAAAAAAAAATCCCAAAATTTCGCTTTTTTGGCCTTGAAGGTAGGCCTAAATAACCTTTTTGAAGTTTATACACTAGCGTGCACAGGAATCTTCTTAAGGATGGGGCAATTTTTTTATATGGTGCATTTAATCTGGGGATGGGGAGTACTCCAAAGTATGTGTTGGATGGTATTGAACATGGTCGTCGCGTCTGTTTTCAACACCCGTCTCACACCCACGAATGTTTCCGTCGGCCGATCATTATCAATTTACGGGAAATAAATGTAATGTCGGTCTAATAGCCCCTAATTTGGGCCCATAGATAAATTCAGCAATCGACTCAATTTTCAATAGCGACCAAAAATATCAATTAATACCGTCCCAATGACGCATTCATCTAGATAAAATTAATAAATAGCAGACTTATACCCACTTTTCGATTAGGGAATCCAAAAGCATGTTCAACCTTTGTACAGTTGCGAAAAAGTCCATCCGCAGAATACCTTGAGGTTCTTTTCGAAATTTTTAGAACTCAATGAACTCTTTTGAAATTCTTCTCAGAAGTCCTCTGGAATTATTTTTAGAACTCTTCTTGACTTATACTCAGAACACCTTGGAACTGAAATTCCCTTAGAGTTTCAGAAAAATTTCCTCAGTATTGTCCAGAAAGTATTCCCGGAATGAGCTAGAAATTATCGGTACTCCCTTGAAATTTTCCTCAAAATCCCTTTGGAATTTCACTCAAAATCTTATTTTTCTCGGTATTCTTTTCGGAATTATCTTGGAACTATCTGTAGGATTCACTAGAAATTATTCGCAGAATTTTCATGGAATACTCCCCAGAAATCCTTTGGAACTGTCCTCAGAATTCAATATCCTTAAGGTTCTTCTCGGATTTTTTTTTAGAACTCTCCTAAGAGCTCTTTTGAAATTCTTCTCAGAAGTCCACTGGAATTATATTTAGAACTCTTCATGTTTTTTCTCAGAACACCTTAAAACTGAAATTCGTTTAGAGTTTCAGAATTTTTTCCCGAAATGAGCTTGAGATTATCCTAGGAATTCGCTTGAAATTTGGCTAAAAACCTCTTTGGTGTTTCACTCCAAATTTTATTTTCTCGGTATTCTTTTCGAAATTATCTTGAAACTATCTGCAGGATGCACTACAAATTATCCCCAGAATTTTTTTTTTGAACTCTGCCCAGAAATATTTTAGAACTGTCCTAAAAATTCAATATCCTTGAGGTTCTTCTCGGAATATTTTAGACCTTTTTTCAGAACACCTTGGAACAGAAATTCCCCTAAAGTTTCAGAAGAACTTCCTCTGTATTCTCCATAAATTCTTCCCAAAATGAGCTTGAAATTATCCTCGGAATCTCCTTGAAATTTTCTCCAACATACCTTTGTAATTTTATTCAAAATTTGATTCTCTAGGTATTCTTTTCGAAATTATCTTGGAACTATCTGCAAGATTCACTAGAAATCATTCGCAGAATTTTCATGGAATCGTCCCCAGAAATCTTTTTTTTTGGAACAATCCTCAGAATTCAATACCCTTGAGGTTCTTCACGGAGTCAAGTTTAAGTTGTCCACCAAAACGTTGTAGTTTTTCTACTAGAAATGTTCAATAAAGCTTGCCCCTTCATTCTCCAGAACTGTGAAATTTTTACATCAGGAATTTTCAATTCAGCTTGCCTCTCCATGCAGCAGATTGTTGCAAATCTTACACCAGAAATTATCAATACAAACTTGCCCCCATAAAATTTTACACCAGAAGATTTAAATTGATCGGAACGATGCACATTTTCCACCGTTGATGTTCAATAAAAAATGCTTCGAATCTTCTGATCGATGCAGATTTCCTATTTCCACCAGACATTTTCAATATATCTTGCTTCTCCTATCATC